CTGCAAGTAATGTCTTGTTTGGTATCCACACTATCCCTGCTGGACTCATCAAGGGGAGGAGGGAAATTCTGAGTAGTTGCTTGTGTACTAAAAGTGTCACCATCCTCACTAGAGTTGGTAATATTGACAGAATCATTAGAGTCCTTAGAGTCATCATCAGAAAACTGAGGTGTGATATTCCCAGTTTCAGGAAGCAGAGGCTAGTGAGAGTTAATGGGAGACTGTGGAGGCTCCAAGGGAAAATTTGGTAGGCCAGGTGAATTACCCTGGGAAAGTTCCTGTTCTGCAACAGGATCAGCTGCAATAGCGGAAGAGTACACACCAATCTCTGGGGCATGGTTAGGGTCAGGTATTGACTCATCGGGTTGAGGGGAGTTGACTACCTGGGTATGCGAGGCGGGTGATCCCTGAACAAGAGATGGATTAGGAGTATTTGTAGAAGTAGAGTAGGGCACATACTTCCTGTTTTGAGAGGGCTGAGCCATAATAACCTTAACATTATCTGGGATAGTAATGGGAGTGATCCCATTAGCCATTAACAAATCATTGAAAATATTAGAGCAGAGTTGAATGTCACCACCTGCTATGCCCTTGGCCATCATATACATTAATTGAGCTCTCGTCATATCCCAGGCTGAGGATACCGAGACATGGAAGGTGAGGATGAACCTTGTGGTTGCGTTTGTGTATGTTGTAGGTGAGGGTTAGATTGGGGCACTCCAAGAGGGGCAAAATTCCAAACATTGGAACCGGTGGAAGAGACCTGAGGATTCCCACTAGATCCAGGCAAAGCTGGGAAGGAAGTCTGAGACATTGTTGGAGGTGCCTGGGGAGTGGTCTTCGAAGAATTGGGTAGTTTTTTGGCTTCTAGAATTTTCTGTATTGCCTTTTTCCTCTCAGGACAGATAGCAGAAACAGCATGGTGTTTTCCATTGCAAAGGACACACTTGGGCTTTGTTTTATTATGACAATCTTTAAAAGAATGTTGACCAGAGCATATGCTGCAAATCAGTGCTTGGGTACTGCATTTGTTGGTGGTATGACCAAATGTGTAAAATTTAAAACATTGTGTAACACTGGCAAACCTTTCAAGAGAGATTTGGTCAGGTGTACATCTGGTGCCAAAACATTTGAAACCATTTTGACATACTAGTTTGGCAGCTTCCGGTGTCTCTAGTATTAACTTTAATTGTTACCTGGTTATTGCCAGGTTTGGAAAATTTATATGCTTGGACAACATTAAATTCAGAATTCACATGATTAAATTCTGCAACAATTTCCTCCACTGAGCTCTCTCTCTCATGAAGCTGTTAATTCTGGCCACAAACACAGTTCGTTGAGCTTGATAGCTTTCAGTGCAACTGGGTGGATACCAAAAGTCTTTAATTTTCCAGAACATCTTGCTTGAGCAGTTGAAGTAACTCTTCTTCAGAAGAGAGGAGAAGTACTGCCCCAGCGTGGGTTTGAAAAACATCCACTGGAGCAACAGTTGAATTTGAACAAATACATTCTAGAATTTCTTTCTTCGACTTTTGGTTGTCATCAACACGTAATCTTACTCTTATCCGCGCCATGATGTCCAGGAAGGTACATCTGGCACAGAAGTTGCTTTAACAAAAAGGGTCTTTCCTTAGTGTTAGTCCTGACATCCTATTTCAGCTGACTTATGAAGGTCAGCCCCTAAGATAGCCTACTCTCGAGTGGTGAGGGGGACACAGGGCCAAGGCAAAGATCGGCCGGATTTTAAAAAACCACACGGGCTACCGGATGGTCAAAATGCCTTGTGTTAACTCTATAAAAAATCTCATCCCTGTATAGTCCCTGCTTCTATAATATAATTTACTATTTGTATCTCCTCTATTCTTCGCTCTCACTTATACTGAGTATTCAAAGCTGAACACTGTGGTTACTAGCTCGCAGTAGTAGCTCGTATTCAATTTCAACTATGTCAGATTCACTTAACGTGAAAATCAGATCTAGTAGAGCTGGTTGGTCCCATACCCTCACTCTTGTGGCTTCTTTGCTTTGTTGGATCACAAAATTTTCTACTGCTGCCTCCATCAGTTTTGTTCTCCATGTTTCTGGTCCTCCATGTTTCTGGTCCTCCATGTTTCTGGTCCTCCATGTTTCTGGTCCTCCATGTGGGTCCCAGTTCTCACAGTGTATTTCATTGTTATTGAAATCGCTTACAATTGTAGCTTTACTTTAGTTTTACCACTTTTATCTAGAATTTGCATTGCAACTCTGTTTTTCTTATCATATTACTGCCTGGATCTTGTTGCTCGGTGTGGGGTTGTAAACTATTGCTATTACCTTGGGTCCCCCAGTCTTTATTTATCGTTTTGTAAAGTCTTTGAAGTTACCAATGTAGTACATATAATAAATCTCCTCAAAACTCCTTTGATTCTTTACCAATAGTGCCACCTTACCTCTCTGATCACCCTCCGTCTCTCTCTCTCTCTCTCTCTCTCTCTTCTCACTATGATCCACCCCTCTGGGAATAATGCATTGGTTAACATGTCAGAAAGTTTTGTCTATGATGGCTATATTATCCGGATGTTCCTCTGCTACTCTGTTCTTTAGTTCACCACTTTACTTTGTGATACCATCTTCATTTAAATACCACTCTCTGATTTTCTTATCCTGCACTTCATGTTGTGGCTTCAGGTACTGAAGCTGGCTTCTGGGAAGAGTTTAAATGGGAGAGAGGGGAGTAGTGAAGGCTTCATGGGGCCCGGTGGCCTGGTGGCTAAAGCTCCCGCTTCACACACGGAGGGCCCGGGTACGATTCCCGGCGGGTGGAAACATTTCGACACGTTTCCTTACACCTGTTGTCCTGTTCACCTAGCAGCAAATAGGTACCTGGGTGTTAGTCGACTGGTGTGGGTCGCATCCTGGGGGACAAGATTAAGGACCCCAATGGAAATAAGTTAGACAGTCCTCGATGATGCACTGACTTTCTTGGGTTATCCTGGGTGGCTAACCCTCCGGGGTTAAAAATCCGATCGAAATCTTATCTTATCTTATCATGGAAGGGAGAGGGGTGAGGAAGTGTTATCACTAGAGATATTGTGAAGGGGGAAAGGGAGGAAATGAGAGCACGTAAGCGAGAGAGTGAGTAGAGGATGGAACAGGGTAAGTAACTAGATCATTAATGGTATTTACATTAGAGGTTAGAAAATAAGAGATGAAAGGAGGGGATCGTTGGTTTCCTACACCTGGTTGCTGGTTGATAATTCTTGATTCTCTTGATATCCTGGCTTCTGCATCACCATCCCTGCTTCTGTGATTGTCTCACTTTATGTTTTCCTCTTCTTCCACCTCACCTTTGCAGTTTGTTTCTGCTTGTATGTTTGATCTCTCTATATAAATATTCCATCACACATTTCTCACTTCCCGAAGTTTGGTTTTCTGTTTAGTGTCTGATTCCCTTTTTTGCTTCTGATTGAAAGGTAACTATCACTGGGCGGCGTTATTTTTTTACATGATTCCACTCTGGAAGAAACTGTTCTCATTTTTTTTGCCTCCTCTGAAGCTGTAATTGTTATTAAGTCTTCAATCACCTCTTGCTCATCCACTTTCTTTCTCCCTTTCTGTTGTATGATTCACTGTCCTGTATATCTGTCAAATTAAAACAGCTTCCTTCACTGTCTCTTGTATTATTTTTTGACACTGTCTCGTCGCTCTCTTTTTCATTATATCTGAAAGGTTACAACCGTTTACTGTTCTCAGTTGTTCATTATTTGACTCTTTCCCAGTACTCACCTTCACCAGCTGGTCTCTCATTCTCTCCACCTCCTTAAGAAATATCGTGAAACGTCGTTATATTGCATATTTCCAAGCCTCAGGCCCGTTTAAAAGCATTTTCTGAGATTCTTAATTTTTAATTAAAATACGTAATCACATTTTTTTTCAACTGCTGATACAATTACATTTTATGGAAGAAGTAGGCCTACCTCTCCTTCGATGCCTGGTTTTTTTCTCTGCTTCTTCCTGAATAATTCAGAAATTTTTCTTCACTTTTCGTTTCCGTTTTACATTCTAAACCTTTGTTTAAGATGTCCCAACTTTTCTCCCACATCTCAACATTAATATCTCCTGCCTTGTGGCACTCCTCTTTACTCTTCATTCTAGTTACTTCATCCATCTTTTGCCCTTTCCACTGATTACATTTTGTCTTACCTCTACTCAGCCAAGATGTCCTCACCTACCTACTTCAAGAACCTTGTATATCAGCGATGTTATTCTTGGAGGAGACCTCACTTGTAAAGTGTTAAAAGTTTGTTGATGTTCCCAGTCCACTGGTGAGTCCTCCAGTGGTCGGTGGTTTGTTCACGCCCGGGAGTGTATGATAATATCTTGATTTCTACGAGTACATATACAAGGTTTAGAGACCTTGCTGTCATGCAGCTGTCCTTCCTGTAGTTCTGCTACTCTGCCCTGTTGAGTGATTTAGTGGATCTCCTTCCTCTCAGTATACTTAACTAATTAGTAATCTGTACATAAAAAAAAACGTCTTAACTATTCTAAAACCTAGTATAGGATGTAATGTGTCTCATGCACAATATGTCGGTTTTAGTCTCACTGTGTACTTGAACATCGGTGTCATTCAAAATTTGATAGCTAATGCTGCAGGTTTCAGACGGAGATCAAAATAGTCTCTTATTATGTTGTTTCAAAACACCCGGGAGGGAGGGAAGGGGGGGTCATACAACGCTCAGGGAGAAGCCTAAGAACTAGACCATTAAAGTTTTACTGTCATTAACAGCAACAAGCAGCTTAAGAAAAACTTTGCTACTATTAATAACAACTGTGTCTACCAGAGGGTAGACAATTAAAACAAAACTATAATACAGGAAAGAGCATTAGTCGAATAAAAAAAATATATCTGGCATTTGATTCAAGTCAGAGGCTGTAAGTTACACCACTTCGGTATCAACCTCAGCGACTCAGTCCAGTCGGTTAAGTGTGTCTCAGGCTTAATATTGCAAACGCCAATATCCAGTTGTTTTACAAGCTTTATTGATTTATAATCTCGGTTTTACCAATCTACAAATTAGGAAATTAGCTTATTTGACTCTAGTAAAAAAGCACTTTTCACTTTTAATAGTGAATTTACCCTATGGAATCTAGTTTTCTAAGAGATTTACAACATCATCAAAGATAAAGTTGCAGGTGTCACCCTGAGGAGTCGTACCATCGAGGAACCTAATGCCGTGCAGTGTGCTAACGTACTGTAGGTGTTTCTCATACTCAGGCCACACACAGTGGTGGAAGTATCCTGGTGGGTCAGGAGGCTCATAGTGACGGTGCTGACGGCGCTGCCAACACTCACTGCGGCTCAGAGTGATGAAATAGCGCAGGTCACACATCTCATACAGTTCGTGATAACCAAACAGCAAGAACCCGTCGATAAGAAGAACGGCTTTAGTGAATGTTGATAGCCGAGTTGTATCCTCGTCTCCACCACTGGAACTATCCTCCAGTGGTGGATCTTTAAACCGTGATGGAGGAGATCCCAAAATAGCTCTAATGTCTTTCAGCATCTTCTCGATGTCAACACTGGTAGTAACTTCCCAGTTGTGGTGGTTGAGGCCGGCAGGCGCTGGGACGTGGTGGGAGGAATCCTCTGGATAGAAGTAGAAGTCCTGGGTGAGGAGTTTGGAGGGGCCGGGGAGCTTGTGGTGCAGGAGTTGTGCTATAGTGGTCTTCCCACTACATGTCACCCCCGACACACCCACTACTACCCACTGCGCCATCTCCAGTAAGTTTTCCTTCAGAACACGCACCTCGCTGTAATATCCAGAAAACACATAATTAAATCACCGCATCCTTTCCAATTACAATTAGCTTACCTAAAGCTTGTTTGCTTTAATTATTTTGTCTTAAGAAAAATCTAGGTATTTCATGGATTTTATGTTGTGTATGTTTGTCTGACTTCTACAAGTTAGAAAATCCATTAAAATTAGTAAATAGTTCCAAAGTGTTACTTTTAATTAGCTGAAGTTGAAAGTTTACTTAAGTTTACGAAGGCTCTACCTTGAAACTTTGTATAACTGCATCAGCAATTACCAGACACGACTTCAATTTGGAGTCAAAATCAACAATATATTTAGCTCCATTAATAGACTGCTAGCTCACTCAGCTGACACACTGAGGTTCGGGGGTCGATCCCCAGTACGGCTGAAAAATATTAGGACGTGTTTCCATAAGACGCCTGCTGTCCATGTTCATCCATCAGCAAAATGGGTACCTGGGTGTTGGATGACTGGTATGGGTCGATCCTTGGCCAAAACTGACCTAATTTGCCCGAAATGCTCTGTAGCGCGGCTATGATTTCATTCTGGGAAGAATTAACCAAGGATTTCAATCTAGGTGGGGATGGGACGGGGTTAAAATAATAAGCTGAAAACATCAAAGAATAAGCTTTTGATGTTAGATATAGTCTTAAGCTAAAGGAATCTTACAGGAGACAAGAAACGCGAGAAGAACTAAGTCATAAATGAAATTGAAAGAAATCCAAAATATTTCTTTTCTTATGCCAAATCTAAGTCGAGAACAACATCCAGTATTGGATCCCTACTTACACGATATGGGTCCTACACAGATGGCAGCCAGGAAATGAGTGAGTTATTCAAGTTCCGGTATGATTCGGTTTTGAGCGACCCACTAACCAGACTAAGAGTCGAAGACCTAAATGAATTTTTTATGGCCGAGACTCAGAATTTGGTAGATTCAAGCTTATCTGATATTATCCTAACACCACATGACTTCGATAAGTGACATGCCCATGCACTCTGCTCCAGGCCCAGACTCGTGCAGCTCCGTGTTCATCAGGAACTGCAAGAAGTCCCTATCATGTGCTTTTAGCATTCTATGAATTGGGAGTATGGACTCAGGGGTCGTCCCACAGCTGCTAAAACCAACAGACAGCCCCATTCCACACAAAATAGGCAGTAAAGCAATAGCTAAGAACTACAGAAAGATAGCGCTAACATCCCATATCATAAAAATCTTTGAAAGGGTCTAAGAAGCAAGATCGCCACTCATCTAGATACCCATCAGTTACACAACTCAGGGTAACATGGGATTAGAACAGGTCGTGCCTGCCTGTCCCAACTACTGGACCACTGTGACAAGGTCCTGGATGCCCTAGAAGACAAAAAAAAAAAAAAACGCAAATGTAGTATATACAGAATTTGCAAAAACCTTCGACAAGTGTGACCATGGTGTAATAGCGCACAAAATGCGTGATAAAGGAATAACAGGAAAAGTTGATAGATGGATCTATAATTTCCTAACAAACAGAACACAAAGAGTAGTAGTAAACAAAGTCTGAGGCGGCTGCTGTGAAAAGCTGTGTTCAACAAGGCACAGTACTCGCCCCCCATCCTGTTCCTCATCCTCATGATCCGACAGCACCCCAATTTGCATAACAGTGTCCTCCATTGAAGACACTGCAAGACTCCAGGCGGACATCAACCAAATCTTTAAATGGGCCGCAGAAAAAAATATGAAGTTCAGTGAAGAGAAATTTCAATTATCTGATATGGAAAGCATGTGGAAATTAAAACTATATGGAGTATAAACAAATTCCAACCAAACAATAGAGCGAAAAACTAATGTAAAGGACCTGGGAGTGATAATGTCAGAGGATCTCACTTTTAAAGACCACAACATCGTATCTACCACATCTGCTAGAAAAATGACAGGAAGGGTAATGAGAACCTTCAAAACTAGGGATGCCAAAGCCCATGAAGACACTCTTCAGATCTGGGCTGAAATATTGTTGCACACTACCAGCGCATTTCAAGGCAGGTGAAATTGCAGACCTAGAAAATGTACAGAGAACCTTCACGACACCTATACTGGGAACGGTTGAAATTCCTCGATATGTATTCCCTGGAACACAAGTGGGAGAGATATATGATTATATACACTTGGAAAATCCTAGAGGGATTAGTACCAAATTTGCACACAAACCATACCACGGACGGGGATAGAACCCGCGATCAGTCTCAAAACTCCAGACCGCCGCGTTAGCCACTAGGCTAACGCGGCGGTTTTGTTTGCAATCGTGTCATTACAATTTCCTGAGTCATGTTGGCGGCTTTGAGGGGACTGGAGCTAGAGTTCGTCACGTCCACGCTAGCTGGAGAATCGTCTGTAAAAACTTGCATTTGTGGTCACAGTGGTGCCTATGCTAACCTTCCTATGGTGTAGAAATATACCTAGTTGGATGAATCTTATTGTGGCTAGCTGGTCTAGTGGCTAACGCGACAGTCTGGAGTTTTGAGACTCTCTGATCGCGGGTTCTATCCCCGCCTGTGGTATGGTTTGTTTGCAATCGTGTCATTACGATTTCACGAGTCTTGCACACGAAAATAACTCCCTACGAAAGCAAAAGTCTCGGCAGGCGATGCAACATCCCCCGAATGAAAAGCAGGGGCGCCACTAGCACGATAAAAGACAACACAATAAGTGTCAGGGGCCCAAGACTGTTCAAGTGCCTCCCAGCATACATAAGGGGGGATTACCAATAGACACCTGGCTGTCTTCAAGCAGGCACTGGACAGGCACCTAAAGTCAATACCTGATCAGCCAGGCTGTGGTTCGTACTTCGGTTTACGTATGGCCAACAGTAACAGCCTGGTTGATCAGGCCCTAATCCACCATGAGGCCTGGTCACAGACCGGGCCGCGGGGGCGTTGACCCCCGAAACCCTCTCCAGGTATACCTTGTACATGTACTTACAGCAATAAAATTATTACTATTAATTTTATTTCTGGGCAGTAGTTTCCTCGTTGTATCCCTTCAGATGAGGAGGTTCTCCCTGCAGCAGCCCAGTTAGTGCCTTCAGATGAGGAGCTTCTCCCTGCAGCAGCCCAGTTGGTGCCTTCAGATGAGGAGGTTCTCCCTGCAGCAGCCCAGTTAGTGCCTTCAGATGAGGAGGTTCTCCATGCAGCAGCCCAGTTAGTGCCTCAGATGAGGAGGTTCTCCCTGCAGCAGCCCAGTTAGTCCCTTCAGATGAGGAGGTTCTCCCTGCAGCAGCCCAGTTAGTCCCTTCAGATGAGGAGGTTCTCCCTGCAGCAGCCCAGTTAGTCCCTTCAGATGAGGAGGTTCTCCCTGCAGCAGCCCAGTTAGTCCCTTCAGATGAGGAGGTTCTCCCTGCAGCAGCCCAGTTAGTGCCTCAGATGAGGAGGTTCTCCCTGCAGCAGCCCAGTTAGTGCCTTCAGATGAGGAGGTTCTCCCTGCAGCAGCCCAGTTAGTGCCTCAGATGAGGAGGTTCTCCCTGCAGCAGCACAGTTAATGCCTTCAGATAAGGAGGTTCTCCCTGCAGCAGCCCAGTTGGTGCCTCAGATGAGGAGGTTCTCCCTGCAGCAGCCCAGTTAGTGCCTCAGATGAGGAGGTTCTCCCTGCAGCAGCCCAGTTAGTGCCTCAGATGAGGAGGTTCTCCCTGCAGCAGCCCAGTTAGTGCCTCAGATGAGGAGGTTCTCCCTGCAGCAGCCCAGTTAGTGCCTTCAGATGAGGAGGTTCTCCCTGCAGCAGCCCAGTTGGTGCCTCAGATGAGGAGGTTCTCCCTGCAGCAGCCCAGTTAGTGCCTCAGATGAGGAGGTTCTCCCTGCAGCAGCCCAGTTAGTGCCTCAGATGAGGAGGTTCTCCCTGCAGCAGCCAGTTGGTGCCTCAATGAGGAGGTTCTCCCTGCAGCAGCCCAGTTAGTGCCTTCAGATGAGGAGGTTCTCCCTGCAGCAGCCAGTTAGTGCCTCAGATGAGGAGGTTCTCCCTGCAGCAAGCCCAGTTAGTGCCTCAGATGAGAGTTGTCCCTGCAGCCAGCCAGTTGGTGCCTCAGATGGAGGTTCTCCTGCAGCAGCTCAGTTGGTGCCTCAGATGAGGAGGATTCTCCTGCAGCAGCCCAGTTAGTGCCTCAGATGAGGAGGTTCTCCCTGCAGCAGCCCAGTTAGTCCCTTCAGATGAGGAGGTTCTCCCTGCAGCAGCCCAGTTAGTGCCTTCAGATGAGGAGGTTCTCCCTGCAGCAGCCAGTTAGTGCCTCAGATGAGGAGGTTCTCCCTGCACCAGTCCAGTTAGTGCCTCAGATGAGGAGGTTCTCCCTGCAGCAGCCCAGTTAGTGCCTCAGATGAGGAGGTTCTCCCTGCAGCAGCCAGTTAGTGCCTCAGATGAGGAGGTTCTCCGCAGCAGCCCATTAGTGCCTCAGATGAGGAGGTTCTCCCTGCAGCAGCCCAGTTAGTGCCTCAGATGAGGAGGTTCTCCCTGCAGCAGCCCAGTTAGTGCCTCAGATGAGGAGGTTCTCCCTGCAGCAGCCCAGTTGTGCTTCAGATGAGGTTCTCCTGCAGCAGCCCAGTTAGTGCCTCAGATGAGGAGGTTCTCCCTGCAGCAGCCAGTTAGTCCCTTCAGATGAGGAGGTTCTCCTGCAGTCAGCCCAGTTAGTGCCTCAGATGAGGTTCTCCCTGCAGCAGCCCAGTTAGTGCCTTGAGATGAGGAGGTTCTCCCTGCAGCAGCCCAGTTAGTCCCTTCAGATGAGGAGGTTCTCCCTGCAGCAGCCCAGTTAGTGCCTCAGATGAGGAGGTTCTCCCTGCAGCAGCCCAGTTAGTGCCTAAGATGAGGAGGTTCTCCCTGCAGAGCCCAGTTAGTGCTCAGATGAGGAGGTTCTCCCTGCAGCAGCCCAGTTGGTGCCTCAGATGAGGAGGTTCTCCCTGCAGCAGCCCAGTTGGTGCCTCAGATGAGGAGGTTCTCCCTGCAGCAGCCCAGTTAGTGCCTTCAGATGAGGAGGTTCT